TCCACCAAATATGACTATCCAAGGAGAACTCCAGATCTAACTGAGTGTCATTATTGATTGACGGATCGTGACTCGGCGACGACCACCCACTACTGAAGTGCTAATACAGTGGGCGAACCTACTAGCAGAAGATGTCACTTGGGAGAACTATGACGACTTAAGATCAAATTCCCAGAATTCATGGATCGTCAGCCTCGAGGATAAGACTGATTTGAAGAGGGTGGGTCTGTTAGGACTCTAGCTAGAAGAGTCCTAATTGAATTTTATTAAAAAGGGCATTAATGTAAAACTTACCTAGCCGACCCCTATTAAAGAGGTGAAGAGGTCGGCTAGGGTTAGGGTTAGTTGGGAGGTTGGTTCTTAGAGTATAAGTCTTATTAGGAGTTGGTTAAAAGTAGAAGTCTTGAGTAGGAGTCCTATTAGAAATTAAGGTTTAGATGCTCTATAAATAGTCATGTATTCATCCTCTTTTGACGAGCAATAGATGAATCTTCTTAGTAGCCTTTGAGTAACAACTTGGAGGAAGGAACCCCTATAGAGTTCCAAGGAGGCCAATCCCCTAAAAAGATCAACCCTAAGTTTAGAATCTGTAAGGGTTCTAATAGGGGAGCCCACTAGCCGATGCCTAGGTCGCGCGTATGCCCCGCGGGGCACGTTGATGATAGCACGCGTCATGTTCTCGACTGCATCGACGATATCCCCTCGAACGAACAATCCGTCCGGGCTTCGATCGTCAATGCAACCCGCATCGATCCGCACCTTAAGTCGAGCGACGAATTTAAAATAATTATATTAAATAATTTACTGATATATATCAATTTATATTAAATTATAAAATATAAAAATATAAAAATAAGAATAATATCATTAAATATAAAGTAAAGAATAATATAAATAAGAATAAAAATAATAAATTTTATAATATTAAAAAACTTAAATTTTTTTTTGAAAGGTCTAATTAACCATTTTTTTTAAGTTGTTAAAATAAATTTTTACTAATTTTGACCAATAAAAATAAATTTATCCAAAAAATAAAAAAAAAATATTTATTTTTAAAAAATATATTTTTTCATATGAGATCAATTCAAATGTTTCCTTGAGGTTCTAACTTATTTTGACTAAGTTACATTGTTTCCTATCTATTTAGAAGCTCAAATATCAAGAAATATTTCATAATCGTATTATGATAAAATTAAAAGAAATTAAAGAAAATAGATAAACTTTGATAATGTTTAGATACAAAAGAAAAGAAAAAAATAAATTCTTAAATTGAAAATATATTTATTTATTATTTTAAATAATATAAAAATTATTGGTGATGACTTTTGCTATTTTGAAAAGTTAGATTGGCTCCATAGAATTTTTTTGGAAATGGGGCGTTCTGCATAATTTTCTCAAAATTAGAACTTTTTCTGAAATTTGCCAATAGGGGTCTTTCTGAAAAATTCCTTGTACGCGTATCGCTGCATCAGATCCACCGCCAAGATTCATGCATTGCCTCATCGACCTCCGCCTCATAACAGGACTCCATTCATCGGCTTTACTAATCTGGTAAACCCGCAACAGTTCGCAGTTGTGAAGGCCAGCAGTGACGGCCAGAGATATTTAGCGACTAGTTTTAGAGCGCAAGAGGAATCTCTCTCTCCCGCCGCTTCTCTGCTCCTCGCAGCCTCGAGAAATCGAGGGAAAAAAAAGGTGTGGATCTTCGCTTCTCTCTGCATCTCGGTTCAGATCTGAAGTCCCTGTCCTGAGATTTATCGTCTAATTCGCTTCATCCCTCGCCCTTCTCCGGTGATAGGGTGAGTGCCATACGGTTTGTTTTGTAGATCGAGGAAGTGAGAAGGGGTTTTGATTGGACTGGAGATGGGGGAGGGCGGGGGGTTCCAGTTGGGAACCGTCGGAGCGCTGAGCCTGTCGGTGGTATCGTCGGTGTCTATTGTGATTTGTAACAAGGCGTTGATGAGCTCCCTTGGCTTCATATTTGGTATGAGATCTGACGATTTCTCTCTTTCTTTCTTTATTTGCTTCTGCTAGTTTTTCTGTTACGTTCACAACGTTCATGTCTTGATTGCCATAAGTTGTGTAGGTAATTCTCAAAGTGGTGTGGTGTTCAATGGTTTTGTTATATATATTTTCCTGTTGCATGTGTCATTCGGACAATTGAAGATCTGCTGATAGTTGATTTTGTTTTCTTCATTCTTCACTATACATATCTATATTTCTATTTGATCTCAACTATGGTCTAAAGATGCTTTCTTGCAACCTTTTTAATAACATTCTTCCAGCAAAAGACATCTAAAGGTCTTTTACATGGTTAAATAATGGGTCTGATCCTCATGGCCATAAGCTAGTTATATGAACAAAAATATTTTTTGAAGTGTGAGCAAATAGCACATGTTTTATCTTTTTGTAGGCAAGCTTATTATATATGTATATATATACATATACATAATGTGATATATATGTACATTTTAAGAGATCAAAAGTCTTTAATGATTCATTTGAGTTTTTATTTTTTCCTCTCCACACCGTTTTTAAGAGTTCTTGGAGAGCATGACATCATATTTTCACCAATTTTTTTTTTCTTTTTGGTGAAAAGAAGGGGGATGGGGACACATTGTGCTCGAAATATTTAATGACTTCCTGGCTGAAAAATGTTGGCATTTGCAAAGAAATAAGTTTGAAGACTTAATCGAAACACAACAAAACTGGGGCTGAGGGGTAAATCACCATGGCAGATGGCTTGTGATACACCCTAGTCTAATTAGAGCAAGATGAAGGACTGTTTTCTCCTTTAATGGCATACATTCATGTCATTGCTTGACATATATTCTTAAGTTACTACTAGTTAAAAGAAAACTTTGGTTGACACTGAACGATGATCTAGAAGTATAAACATGTAAATTCTTGAATGAAGCACAATAAGTTATGTACATTTGCATTCTTCTGCATAGTGTGTTTGCTAATATTATGTCAAAACAAAGAGCAGAAGCTCAAATGAACTTTTTTTTGTGACACTGACATTGATGTGAAGATGAAACAAACAATAGTCTGGTAGGAAGGATATTTAAATGACAGGTTTTGATAATTAAGGCTAAAAAATGAGGTGAGTAGAAGCATAGATGGAGTATAGAACTGAGCTATTTTTGTGTAGTACTTTTAGAGTTTTGATTTACTAAAACATAGTGGTTTGAAGAACTGCAATTTATTTCGTGGCCTGAGTTGAGAGCTTTACCTTGGTGTTTTAAAGTAGCAGTGCAACTGATGAAGTGACCTGCTGATGGAGGTCCTAGTGATCTCAAATATTATATAGTGATTTATATACTTTATTTGCTTATGAAAAGTCAAGTATGAAAGGGAATATGCAAGAGCTCTTGTGTAAGAATATTGAGGAATTCAAGTCCATTCTAGTCTGCATGGATCTCCACTATTGTCCAAAGAATAAATGACATGAATATTTTTTAGCATGTAAATCAAGAAAAAGTTTCATGCTTGCTAGTGAAATTCTTAAAGGTCCATTTTTCCTAGAATTGCTTTCTTATAATCTGATATCATGTTGTCCATACCAACAATTACCGTACTACCCGAAATGGTATGAAAAGGGTGGTCCATATCGGTCAGAGCATGGATTGGTCACAGATCGGATCTCTCCTGTTTCGGGATGATACAGTCCAATTCAGGAAAAATATAAACGAAACCTATGACAACGATGAGCCCATACAACTCAGTATTAAAAAAAAAGAAAACCTAAAATAGCAATTAGGGCTCACGAATGCGAGCCCTCTTCTCGCGAAGCCGCTACCGTCACCACTGCCAACTATTTGAGGTCATCGTTGCCGCCACCACCACCTTTCGTCGACATCTTTTGGCCATATGGTACACTCCCATCTCTTCTCCTTCTCTTTTTCCTTCTTCTTCTTTCCTCTTCCTTCGCCGCTTCCTCTTCTTCCTTTTCTTTCTCCTCTTCCTTTACCGCCTCCCTTTCTTCCTCCTCTTCCTCCACGGCCTTCTCTTCTTCCATCCTCTTCCTTACTCTTTCTTTTTCTTCCTCCCTCCTCCTCCATTGTGCCTTCCTCTTCTCCTTCTTCCTTTCTTCTTCGTCTTCAAAACGTCTTCCCTTCTTCTTAGTCTTCGAAACATCGGTACGTACCATGTGTTGGTATTTCAATGTTGACCAGTACATACGGGTCAGGCCAGTGACTGGTACGGGTCCAGCACACGATACACAGTCCTTGGTCCATAGAATTTATTGTTGTGTTGTAGATACAATAAGTTGTAAACATTTTTTGGGTCTTTTATGATTGCTTCCATCCGATGACTGACTTCGATAGAAACACTTTTAGAGAAGTATTCTGGTATGGTACTGTCCACATAATTTATTGTTGTATTATACATATGCTAAGATCTTAAAATTTCTTGGTTTATCTTTGATTGCTTGCCTCTGATGATTGACTGCCTTGTAAACAATCAAGCAAAGAGCTGGTTTTGTTTAGATGAAATATTCTGCATATTTGTTGTCATATATTTCTAATTTGCAAGAGTAATTACAAACTTGCATTATCTGTTGTTCTCAGCCACTACTTTGACAAGCTGGCATCTTCTTGTTACCTTCTGTTCTCTTCATGTGGCATTGTTGATGAAACTATTTGAGCACAAACCTTTTGATCGAAAGGCTGTCATGGGTTTTGGAGTACTAAATGGAATCTCCATAGGGCTATTAAATTTAAGCCTAGGTTTCAACTCTGTTGGTTTTTATCAGGTACACATATGCATTCTTCTAATAGTGACTGGGTTTTTTAGAATCAGTTTGATTTTCCTGCACTAGGAGCAATTCAGAAATCATGCTAAATCTGATGCAGTGCTTCTTTAATTAATCAAAGTATTATCCAAAGCCGTTCAATTTAGGTCAATTTCTTGTCCGTGTGGTTGAAACTCAATGGGAAATGACTAGGATGAATCAAACTAACATGCGTTGGCCAATTTTGGTCACTTTTAGTTAATCTCACAGCCTCAAAAGAAGAAAGGAAAGAGGGAATGATGGCCAAGATGAAAGTCAAGATAGAAACAAGACAAAATATTGTATGATCATAACTATAGGACACAGCAGATGTTGCTGCTATTTGTTTGTCTGCAATTGTTGCAATGTCTGATATCCATTGTCATGTAAGAGAGAATGACATGGGGAAAGAGAAGGGATGACAGAGAATAGTCCTTAATATTTTAAAGAAATAGGGATGCTATCACAGAGAATGAAGATGTCGCATGATTCAGAATGAATCTTACTTTTTTTTTTTAATATGTTTTGCATTAATTAATACTTCACCTGCATGTTTACTAGATTAATGTTAGGGCCAGAATGCAGCTTCTCATTGTTTTCATAGAGAGGTTGATAAAAGTTGAATCTTTTGTATAATATATATACTTAGATATTGTAATGATGTCCTTGTATAACATGATTGTTATTTACCTTCTAGTAAGTATAATAACTATTTTTAATATTTTTAATTATTCTTCATTAGTCGATTTACATAATATTTTATCTTTTGTATTTCATTTTCATGTTATTTTGGAAAGATAGTTATATTATGAAATATGAAGATAAAATAATATTTTAACTCCAATTATTTTTATTTTTAAATTTTATTGTATGTTTTTATAGTGTTTTGATATTATTATATAATTTTTATTTTTAAAATTTTAAATTATTTTCTTGATCAATTTTGATTCTTCCAATCAGATTTGATCCATCCTGATTGTATTCCATTTTGGAGGCATTTGATATTACAAAAGGTATATTGCATTTATTTGATTCCTTGGACCAAAATTTACAAGATCAAGATTGGCATTTGCATTGGTGTTGGAATTTTGTCTAAGACTAGATCTGGTTTGGATAAAATAATTTGAAATCAATATGTAAAAAATTTCAAGAAAAAGTTATACATGTTAGTTTCATTATTAAAATATATGCATAGAAATATATTGAATTTTAGGATATATGTTAATCCAAATGTGAAGTTACTTTATTGTTTCCCAACAACTTAATGCTTTTTTTTCCTCTTAATAATCAAAATTGTTGCTTCTTACATATGATATAAAAGAGCAACATATTTGCAGCCTCCTTGGTTCATCATTTACAATCAGGTTAAGATCCTTTCCAATTATTCTATAAATCCAATTGTCGTTAGACTATTCATGCCAATGGGCAGTTGATAGCTAAGGTTAATACCAATGAGCAGTTGTAGTGTGAGAACTGAATTCCAGTTAAAATACATTGGGATTCTTGGCCATGATATTTCATTCTATTGTTTTTGTCTTTATCTTCTCTGTTGCATCCGTATCTTGCTCCCCCCTTTTATTTGTCCAAGATAACCAATCAATAGCAAGATTTGGTGAGCATGGTGATGAGTTATAATACTCTACGTTTTCTTCTGGTTGATCCTTGTTGAGATTGATTTTCATTTCAGGAAAAGTGGCTTCTCAATGTTATCTGTTATACGTTCTAGGATTCTAATTGTTTATATCCTTCAATAAAATATCAACTTGACTTTTTTTCTTTTCCAAATAAATGACCAGAATTGAACAAAAGTAAAATCCTATTCCCAGTAACACCTCAGGTGGTGCTATGTGGTAACTTGCGAGACGCTGCCAGCTGATGAAATTAGAGGGCTAAACTAAAAGAACTAAATGGAAACTACAATTCCCGCAAACTAAACAACCATGTTAATGTTGGAAAAGGCTTAGATGGCATTATCTTATTTTTTGAGTCTTGTGCTATTTTAGTTGTAGATCTTTATTTTAGTTTTGACTCATATATCTTGCTGGAACACTTCCATCCAGATGACAAAGCTAGCAATCATTCCCTGTACTGTCTTCTTGGAGACTGTATTTTTGGCAAAAAAATTCAGGTATTTTTACATTAATTTTTTTTGCAAATTTTCTTATACTTTTGTTTAAAATATTTTAGCAGTTAACCAGATGAATATAGTTGCAAAGCTCATACTTATCCAATTGCAAAGGCACTTCAAATGGTAGCACTAATACTACTGGATTCCTATCTATCATTCATACATCTAATTCATGACAACTAGAATATGTACAGTGATCTTAATGGCATCACATGCCATTTCATGAATTTTATTCTTGTTATTTCATTGTAAGTGCCATTATTACTACAAGTTATTTAAAGGAGCTGGAAATTTAAAATTAGGACTGCACTGGACTCTGCATAGATATAATGTAATTTCCTGCACGGCACATTCACCTTGGAAACAAGCTATTATATCAGGGCTGACAGTTGACCTATAAGATCAGTAATTCATTCTGTTAAACAGATGCACTGATTGCCCAGAAGAAATTTCAAGTAACTTAGTGCATTGTTCTACCCTAAAAAATTTATAAATTTGTCAGGGACTCAGGATGTTGCTTTCAATTGTTGCTTTTTTGAAATGTTCACCTAAATTAATATTTATATTTGCATTTTCCAGCTGCAAAATCATAGTAGGCCACTTTCAATTCTACAAAGGCAAGAATATCTTTGAGTTACAGTTACAGTCCTTGATGATCTTTACTCATCAGGCCACACTGTTTTGCTCAACGGTGTCCACAAATCTATTTGTTCATATGCTGCTATGTTCATATACAAGTCTAAAAAGTCTCATTTGTTAATCTTTCAAAATAAGGATATATATTTTTCCTGATGACATTTAAGAGGGCCAGCAATTTTAATCTTTCAAAGTTGGAATATATATTGGTCCTGATGTCATTTAGTGGGTCCAGCGAGACAATCTTTGTTTGTTTAAACATCCACAGATCTATCTCTTGTTAGTATTTTATGCTAAACTAATTCTGTTAAAAGTTAGTATGATTTTATTTGACTGTTAATTTGTCCTTGCATTGCAGTCGGAGTATTCAGCTCTCACTTACCATCCTTTTATTGGGTGTTGGAATTGCAACTGTGACAGATCTGCAGCTTAATTTGCTCGGATCTGTATTGTCTCTTCTAGCAGTTGTTACCACTTGCATTGCACAGATTGTATCCTTATATAATAATCTTTCTTTATTTATTGTATGGCATCGATCAATTGTAACATCCAAAATTTGAAAGTCTGACAGTCAGTATCAGCAATTTAATTTTTACATGTGGCCGTTTACAGGTAAGATGCTAGTATAATAGCATGGGTTCCATGCTAACTGACATGCTACCAATATGCATGTATGTTCATTTTGTCATATCTTTGGCATGACAAGGATGTCCATGCTGACATCATGCTGGCATCATTTGACATGGCCCAAAACTCACCATAACTCGAAACCATGATAACCATTTAACTAATCTTCACATAGGGTGTTATTTGGCATGCAACTGACGTCCTTTCAGGCTTTTAGGTAATGACACAATACACCAAAAAGAAAGCTTACTGTTGAAAGAATGTTGCTATATGTTCAAATATGTTCAAGTTGGGAATATTTATTTGAATTTGGCTGGTCCTGGATTTAACAGCCAGTTATCACAAGCCATTATAAGTATGTGTAATAAGCAAAATGTGATCTTATGATATTTGCTTTGTCCATCTGTGACGGAGGCTTTTGTATCAAGTAACGAGGAAGATCAGAAAGACTGGTTGCAGTAGATCTGTGTGGTACTAATTTTTCTGTTACCATTGATTGAGTATAGCTTGTTCCCTACTTTTTATACTGAACCACTCATGCTTTTGATTCTTTGGAGTTTGGACCTTAACCAGTTGTTTGCAGATGACAAACACTATACAAAAGAAGTTCAAGGTCTCTTCAACCCAACTTTTGTATCAATCTGCCCCTTACCAAGCTTTAACTCTGTTCATATCTGGTCCATTTCTTGATGGCCTTTTAACGAACCAGAATGTCTTTGCATTTAACTACACTCCTCAAGTTCTTGTAAGTAATCTCTTCTGTATTTCCTTGTAAAGTACTGCTGTTCTCATCTTTTATATATATATATATATATATATATATATATATATATATATATATATATATATATATATTTATTTATTTATTTATTTACTTTTTTTGTAGATCTTCATTGTGCTTTCATGCCTAATATCGGTCTCCGTCAACTTCAGCACATTTCTTGTAATTGGGAAGACATCGCCTGTGACATATCAAGTTTTGGGTCATCTCAAAACATGCCTGGTTCTGGCTTTTGGTTATGTGTTGCTTCATGATCCATTCAGTTGGAGAAATATATTTGGGATCTTAGTTGCAATTGTTGGCATGGTGTTTTATTCTTATTTCTGTACAATTGAGGGCCAACAGAAAGCTCGTGAAGCATCCTCTCAAGTGTTGCAGGTATGGCTACATTTTTTTTAAATTTCTGTAATTCTAAGATTTTTCTCCTTGACTAAATGCTCATCTATCCCTAAGCATTCTACACCTGGTTCTGTGCCTCCTCCCTTGTGGTGGTTCAAGAAGGATTAAGTGTTCATTTTGGCATCAATTTTAATGGACTGTCAAGAGAATGTTGATTTACTTTTTCCTAATTAAAGGGATGATAAATCGCTCCTGCTTTTACTAGTTTTTGCATGCTATCTTATTCCTTTACTCAATAAAATATTATTAAATCAATAACAAGCAAGATTTATTAGTTTCAAGTTAGCTGGTGATGAGGTATTTTCACGCCTATCATGAGGCGGAAAAGTAAGCGCTAACTATTTCAGTTATCACATGATACATTGACAGCTGAATTCTTACTGTTAGATATTCTAGATGTTGACTACCTCGTAGTACAAAGGAATTTGGTAACTAAATATATGTTTGGAAGCAATAATTCGGGCAGATTATAGATAAAGACTTGAATGTGTTGAAACAACCTAATAACGTTTAACAACATGGTTACTTGAGTAATCGTGGCCTACACGAAGACCTATGTAACCGTTGCTATTGATATAGTTATTTGTAATGTAAATCTATCACCTGCTAGCAGGCCTTCATTTCATCGGCTAGCAGGCTTTCACCTCATCATATTTGTTTTGAGCTACATAATAATAATTGTTGTTGATATAGTTTAAATCTATCATCTGCTAGCAGGTCTTCGCTCCATTATATTTTGTCTTAATCTGTGTCCTTCCTATGGTTTAGATGTCACCCATTACTCAGTAACCCAATGGAGGGCGTTGTTCACCAAGTGTTACTCTAGTGCAACAAACAGGCCACAACTTAAACTGTATGCTACTGGTTTCATCTAAATCTATGGTCTTATATATATGCCATGTTTTGGAAAATAAGGTGAAATTGTTGGAAAGAGATGATGTTGTTTTTAACTGATTGCTAGTGAAGCGGTAGGTGTTTCATCTGAACATAGTGTGATGAGGGGATTTATCCTTTTAGGTGTCTTGACTAGTTTTCTGGACCACATTATCTCATGAACATGAAGATCAGGTTGTTCAACCATCAGTGCGAAATTGAATATATATCTTTCTAAACACGTTTCTTCTTTAATCTCTTTCAGAACTCATGCGATACTTTTGCGGTAATTTCGTGTGTTCTAACCCACTCGGTTCTCCATTTTGGTCAAATGCCACAGGTGAAAGACGATGAGTCTGATCCTCTGATCGGAACCGAGACTGGAGCTGGCATAAATGATGATGGTGCAGCTCAAACCGCGCAAGCATGGAGCTCAAACAAAGATTTGCATGCATGAAATCTGCCCTAATGTACAGAATCATACATGCAGACCAGAAATCATCAGACCAGTTTGCATAGCCAGTTTTGGAGAACAAGTTGCTGTATGTTTTTGTATGCAATTTTTATCTATATTCTTACATGCTCTTCGAAAAGCATATTAATTCTTCTTCTTTGTAAGTTGCGTCCTCAATTTGTAACTTAAAAGACTTCATTATTATTATTATTATTATTATTAATTTTACTTAAAAGACTTCATTATTACACTATGAAAATGAAGTTAGAATCATTAGTTCCTTTTTCTTGTTTGCCTCATAACTTTGATCCTCCCCTTATCCAATCTCAGTCTACAATACAGGTAGCTACAGTACCATAGAGAATCATGAACTCACCTTTTAGATCATGAAATAAAAGGAAAAAAAAAGAGAAATATTAATTAGATTCGGATCATATCGGTTGGTAAGATCAGAAAAATGAGAATCCATTCACTTAAACGATTTACTAATTGAAATACTTTTATGTTTTTTGTAAAGATAATTAGGTCTTTGTGGATGAGAAAGAAAGCTCTCCAAGTTGCCCTGTGGACACTACATATGCTGGTGGACCAATCTCCAGGAACAAACATGCAACGAGGTTTGATGTCATGTTCTTTGCATCATTTGGCTGCCCATATTATTTCTTATGCTAGCTGATAAGATCAAACACTTGGCTGCTCATATCATTTCTCATGCAACAAGAAATCTTCCGGTTCTTCTTCACTTGTCATGGCGGTCCTTCCGCCGGTGCATCCAACGTGTTCGAGAGTTTGCTTCGCTGAACCTTCTTCCATCAGCCGCGCCATCGACACCCCATCTTTCGCCGCAGGGATCGAGCTGCAATAAAGCCAAGCCATGGCCATCATCATTCTCGTCCTCCCACCTTGAATTATCCACCTAATACTCCATGGCTGTAACCATCAACGAAGCTGGGACGTTCATCGTGTACACAAGTGAGCAGAAGAACACAGTGCAGTTCCAACTAGAATAGATCCATGCACATGCTGCGTCCATTTCTGTCGCTGCCGGAGGAGGAGAAGGATCCACTAAGCGGACGGTATCTGTCTCGCGACGGATGGACCAAAGTCTTGTCTCTAATGCGGCCTGCACATGCTCGGAAGATTGCCCCAAGGATTTCGGTTGCAGTGGATGATGACCTTACGATATATGTCAGTGGCAGTCAGCAGTGGCTGTGTGACGGTGGGTGGATGAGTCCACGCCGCCATGTTCTCTGGCTCCAAACAGCTCACGAGAACTCTAATATAGATTATGAGGGCCAAACCTTGAAAAGCTTCTCTCATCCACCCGATCAAACGCTTCTTATGTGTGGAGTGAGTGAGATTAAGGAGAAAAATTCAAATGCATCGAAGGTTTAGCAAGCATTTGATGAAGTGAAGAATCTTAAAAAGGATTTGCAAGTAGCTGTTCAGAAATTTGTTGGACCAGTGGCTGACAAGCCATTCATTCTCTTTCTTTCTTTTAGTTCTGCAAATATGTTCATAACTGTAATACCGTATCGTATCGATGTTGCAAGACTGACTCGATACGATACGAGCGGTATACCAGGATATATCGAACGGTACATCAGAACTTACCGAGCGATTTTAAATATTTCTTCCTCTTCCTGTAGCACTGCTACAGTATATATTGTAGCATATAGATATATCGTCGGATCGGTACGTACCTTCCGTACCGGGTGGTACCATTCGAAATTACATATCATAATTCAGAATATATGACCAATTAATTATTGGTCATGACCACTCACTTTCAAGCAATAAATAAATATCAAGCATCATAGTCTTCACTCGCATGTGTGTGTTCTTAAATAGTTTTAGTCCCTATCAACTCATCTAAAAATTTAAGCTTAGGTTGTACAAAGTAAAATTTGAACTTCCAATGTCAAATATTAGATATCTCAATTTAAATTTTACACAATTACTACTTCTTTCGATACGGTGTGAGTGGATTTTAATTTTAGGACCTCGTAATGATCTGACGACGAACTGTGGAAAATATTCATAAATAAACTTAATAAAGAGAGAAATCTATGGATTTGCAAGAGAAGTCTGCACTGATTTCAACTCAAAAAAGTAGTACGAGTTCACATGGTACTAAGAACAAAGCAAATATGGTCGAACACCTTGATGATAACCTCATGGTACTCTCTGGAGTTGAGCGACAAGTAGCAGGCAAGCAGCTCACCCAAATCCTTGGCGTCGTAGATGTTGTTCTCCACGATCATCTCCACCATCGACTCCATGAAGTCCCTCATCGGGTCCGATGACGACTTGACCACCACCAGGTTCTCAGACGGCGTCGCCGCCGCCCTCTGTTTGATGCCATGACTTCCTGAGGCTGGTCTCCTCGCTGCTGTCTCCTGCCGCTTCAGCTGTGACTTGAACGTGGTGGAAGAGTCATCAGACTTGCAGGCGGAGGTTGAAGTGTGGCGGCAACTGCAGCTCACGGAAGTGGCTGCACTAGCACATGGTCTGAAAGCCTTCCTTCGGGTCTCCGGCTTGGGTTTCTTCGGTGGTTCGATGGGGAAGTGGGTGTCGGAGGCCTTGGAGTTGATGGTCGAGCGATGGAACTTCTCTGTTCTTCTCTTGGTCGGCATGTTGAAGAAGGCTCTGCTGGGGAGACAGTCATGCTGTTTGAGCTGCTGCATTGGATGCAGAATTGCTGAAGCGTGGCTTTTCTTCTTGAAGTGACGAGTACTTTGGCTTCTCTCACCTCTGCCCATATCTTTAAGCTTGTACAACCACGAGCTTGACATCATATCAGATAGCCAAAACCTGTAATTTCTCATCAGAGATAGCCACAAACAACAATCTCAGGAACTATAGTCGCTGTAAAGTAGTTGCTACACACACATGAAGGGCTTGAAACCATTCATTCAGCTCATGCACAGATATTAGCTTCTCTCTCTCCCTCCCTCTCAAGTGGGTGTGTCGTTTTCTAATAGCTCAATGTACTGTGCCCTGGTGTTGAGGTTGACATGGATGGTGGTGGGAGCTGGAGAGAGAGGAGAGGAGAGGGTTGTCAGGCAGGCAGAAGATTGGGGTTGTGTCCTTTAGCATATGGTAGGGGCTCAAAGTCACAAACACAGAATGAATGAAATCTATATGTAGATATGTTGCTCAGTTGCTCATCTTTTATTTGCAACATTGTTTGAATTTTAAATGACAGCAAAGAAGATAAGTATCAGATCTTGGACACAGAGAGAGAGAGAAAAAAAGAATAATCATGTAAGGATCCACCAAGGAATGTCTTCTTGCAATCAAATACACTATATTTTGATTATTATAAGCTTACATAGCCCATGCATAGTTTATTTTTGTCAAGGGTTTCTTGAATAAGAACAGCAGAACAGGCAACTACATTATATATATATATATATATATAAAGGCAATTAATCCAAATGAATGTTGATGTTTAGTTTAATTAAGATGTACAAAGGCATGTGTCTTCTAAATTCTGGAAGTGAATAGCCATGAAAACAGAGATATGAAACCTGCTCAAAATAAATGCTATATCTTAGAAAGTCCCTTTGGCTGGGAGAGAGAGTTATGATATGAGGTTTGGTGTTAGTGGAAAGGTAGGGAGGAGAGAACATGGAAGAATACAAATGGAATAAGTTATTAACTTAAATATGATATTAAAAAAAATCTTAAAATTTATAGATGAAATTTTGAATCTTCAACCATCATTGAGTCTGATATATCATTATTGAATCAATATTATAAATATAAAATTTATCAGATGATATTTAAATATCTTAATCCATGATAAATAGACATATTATATTTGATTAATATTTTAGGTATAAATTATCAGATGAACTTTTGAACCTTCAATCTCTAATAAATGAGACCAAACTAATATGTTAGGAAAAGATATTAGATTTGAATCAATATCACTTGTCAATTACCTATCAAATTCCTTTTAATATTCCTCTATAGGAAGGACACTTTGCATCTCTTTCAAACCCTATATTTAAGGCTACTAGTCTCACTACATTACAACATTACTATTGAAAGAGTATTCTGAGATGTGCCTACAAAACATAGTATATATTGAACTAGTTCCTAAATTTTTGGGGTTTGATAAGTCGATCTAAATCTTTATTATTGTATCAAAATAGATTATAAGTTTGAAATATGTATTTAACCCTCTTTATTTTATCTGGTATATGATTGATGCATGCACAATATCCTAATCCTTAATTGGCTTATACCTCATGTTTAAGTTTGGTTCATACATCAAACTTCATCTTACTTGCACATGAGATGGATTGTTAGAACCTAATAGCTTCACTATCTTTAGCTCATTCCCCACTTGGAGACTTCTTCTCAAATTTCCTTTGTTTTTTGACTGAGAGTGATGTGATCTCAACTGCATCAACTTTGCTTGCTATATCCATTGCACATTTCATCTCTGCAACTACTGGCTGAGAAGAAGGGGGACCAAAACAGATGTCCACCTCAATGCAACTCACTTTTGCCATGAATTGGAGCCCATCAGGGGTTGGATCTCACTCTCCTGTGATGATTTCAAGGTTGTCATGATTTCTTGAAGGAGAGCATTAGTTTGGAGTTAGATATCACTATCATTCAAATCTCATGTTAATATATCTAAGATTTTCCTAATTGAAGCCAATAATCTCTTCACACTTGACTTAGTCATCATCAAAATATATATTAGATCATAATATATATTCAATATCTTAAGTTGGTATAGTTAGTATTATTATTTTTCTTTATGCAAAAGGTAAGCGATTAGAACAAGATTCGAGTCTTATAATAAACTATTAAAGTCTTTACCAGCTAAATTTATTGACATATTTTAGTAATTTATGTTTTTTTATTTTTATTTTTATTAACTTCTATCATATGTTAGGTTTAATTTGATTAGTAGGTAAAAAATAATGTTTTAACATAATATATATTGGACACTTTCCTAAGCGATTTAACCTTATAAAGTTTATGATAATTTAATAAAAAATATTTGTCACTGCATAAGTTAATTTGTGAGACAATCAATATATATATATATATATATATATATATATATATATATATATATATATAAGAGAGAGAGAGAGAGAGAGAGTATTGTTGTGGGGCTGCAGAAATGAAGAGGGTGACGGTCATCTTCCACCTTTGGTCTTCACATTTCTCCTGAGGACCACGTCGGAGAATTTGACAGCCGCAAGAAGAGTTGGTGACGCTACCACAAGGACACGACGATGATGACCAGAGGTCGGTCCCCAGGAAGGACTCGGGGAGCGCGGACGGGTACCGTCTTTTCATGGCAGCGCCAGCGGAAGTGGACAAGAGAAGCCAACCGCCGGACGGAGAGCGGTGGTGGGTGGGGCTGCACTGCAGAACACAGAACACGATGTAGGCGTCAACCTCGGCGCCGACGACGGCGAGGCAGATGAAAGGGAGATGAGAAGGAGACACAGCTCATGATCTGTGATGCATGCATGACTTGTGTAGAAGTAGATGTGTTGGTGGGAGAGTGAAGAAGATAAGACATAAATTGAGAATTAGATCCTTAAACTGATCGGATTCACTTATTACATCTATCATGTTATAAAAAACCTAAATGAGAACCAATTTCCTAAGCAACATGATGAAAAGTTTAATAAGGTGAGAATGATGGGACATAAAATTGGGAATGATAATTTCAACTGGGATCCATAAAATTTTTGAGAATTGGATCGGATTAGGTTGGGAGCATGAAATTTATATTCGTCAATTTCAACCCAGACCCATACAACTTTCAAAAAGAGATTTGATTCTTTGATCTTATTATTAATCATTACAATCTTGAATTTTGCTAACTAATAAAACTTTTGATAATTTATTTAAAGTTCCATTGCTCAAATTTCATATTCACCACTTAAAAATAAAAAAAATAATTATGATCTTTACTTAATTTATATTTTCATTTAAACCCTTTAGATCAGTAGCTAAGTTAGATATATAGCAATCTAACATAGCATATAAACTCCTCCTATCAAGTTTGAGTTAAGAAGGGTTAGAATTTCGACATATTGACTGGTAATAAATTATTAATATAATGACATATATAATTTAAGTTTAAAGAAAATAATTTATTTTAGTTTTTCATGAACCATTTAAGTCATTATGATTTTGTTTATGTCTAAAATAACCCTTATATTTTTTAAAAACGTAGCATATAAGTCTCTCCCACTAAGTCTGAGTTATATTCTACTTGCGTGACATATTGATTTATAATAAATCATTAATATAATAATATTCGTAATTTAAGTTTTAAGAAAAGGTCTATCTTGTTGAGGAAAAGAAAGCGATAGAGGCATTAGCAACGGACAAAGGCGAATAGGCAAAGGTAAGAGAGGCCAGAGGTGGAGGTGAGGAAGAGCTGGATCATCATGTCGTAAGCGCGACGGGTGAGGGTGCAAAAGAGAACGAAATGGGAGGTGGTGGGGACGAAAACACTCAAGAAGAGGAAGAGGGACTAAGAGACCATTGCATAACTAATGTTAGACTAGTCGACGCACATCCACTTGAGGTAGGACTGAAAGCTCTTGAGCTTGTCATTAACTCAGGAGAGATTGCATGCATATGATGCCCTGTTAGGCAATAGTGGCTCGGTGCTACTATTGGTGGTTGCTTCCACGATGACGCATCCTCCCGCCATTGATGGTGGTCTCAATTTTTTTATTTAAATTATATATATTATTATATTAATAATTTATCATGAGTCAACATGCCACGTAAGTAAACTCTAATATCTATTAACTCATACTTGACAAGAGAGGCTTATATACTATGTTTTTGAAAATGTAGTGGTTATTTTATACACGAGCAAAATCATAAGGGCTTAAGTGGTCTATGATCAAAATCACAATGGCTAAAATTAATTTTTTTTAACTTAAATTATATATATTATTATATTAATAATTTATTATGAGTCAATATGTCCATACTATTGACTCAAACTTGACTGGAGAAACTTATATGTTATATTTTTCAAAATGTAGAGATTATTTTAGATACGAGTAAACAATAAAGGTTTAAGTGGTCCATGATCAAAACCACAATAGCTAAAATAGACCTAACCCAAAAAAATTTTGGTATAAAAATTTATAAGATAAGGTTTGAGTCAAGTATTTTAGGTATTTGTAGGATAATATTTCAAACCTTCAATCAAATAATCATCAACAAACTAATTATTTATATATAAAATTTTTTATCTAGATAATATAATACTGCAACACTAATATTTTATGTATACAAATTTATTTGTGAGGTAAGGATTAAAAAGAAGGTTAAGATTAATCCCACATATGTTAGTCGGGTTATATATATCAGGTTTAAATCTTTGGGTCTAATTTAATGTAAATTTAGACTAATAGTTATTTGATTTCTAATATAGATTAATGTTTGAGCTGTAAAATATAAATAGTATTATATGTAAATTATATTTACATAATTTACATATTTACGTTAGGACGGATCGAAGAACCATTGCTGGTTCTATTTCTTATTTAGTTTGAATGTCATAGGAGGAATTATTAGTTTCCCCAGCCATAGAGTGAGATGGGCATTGAACACTTTGGTGGGTTGGATCAGCTCGTGGGCCAACTAATATTACAATTGTGGATGTTGGAATGGCATACTCACGGATTCAAATGTCTTCCAACCCTAATCAAAATCTGTCACTTGGGTTAAGTTTAGGTTCAGATAGATTTGTGATATGATCTCCACGTTTAGGCACACCGTAGAAGGAATTGCATGAACATGTCTCTATCCCCGTCCCCCCCCCCCCCCCCCCCCCCCTTTTTTTTTTTTTTTTTTTCCTTGGGAGGTGTCCTATTTTTTAGTTATTATTTTTTTTAGTTGCATGAAAAAGTATCAGCCAGCGGCCTCTATTTGGGACGTGTGGACAACAAGAAGGGGCGGCCCATTTTTTATTACATGATACGTGCGAAAAGAAAATTTGGATAGGTGAGGAGCATCTTCGCAGCCC